CCTGGTACCTACAAAGACCACAGGAATGAGATTTTCACTGTAGATGAAGCTGCAGTTTTGGCTTTTCTTCTTCTTTTTCTCTTTCTCCTACTTTTAGTAACATGTGTTACTATCCTTCCAAAAGAAGCAAATCTATTTCCCATCCAATTTAGTGTCTGAATTGTGACTGCATTCCCCAGTCTTACTACAAATGAACAGTGCTGCAGTAACTCCAGAGTGTCCTTGAATGACCCTGTTCTCCAGCTTGCATGCTGTGAGCAAAGCAGCCTTGATACTAGTCTAGGCTCATTGCTGCAGTTTCACTGCTTGAACAAAAAACATGGCTTTGAAGGATGTTGCTCAGTGGGTGGGAACAGGGCAGGTGGCCTCCCTAGGGCTGGGTGGCTTCACTGCAACCTTCATTCAACTGTCAGCACCCCCAAACCCCTTAAACCACTGTTCATAACTTGCCTGGTCTACTTGCCCACCGCTATTTAAGATCTTCCTCTGTCTTAGTTTCACCAAATCTCAGCCCATCATTATTTCTGAATAGAGGGAAAGGCTTTCTTCTGGAAGTGACCTAAGCCATAATAACTAAAGAGCATTTAGGAGTACATTGTTCACTTCCCTAAAGATCTTCCCCGTCTGTTCATGGAGGCTCTTCAGCACTGCTAAGGTTATGCTTACCACCTGATGGAAAATGGGATGACTGCAAGGCAATTTTTCTACCCCTAAACTTCTGCCCCTCATAGTCCTAACTGCTTGTGGACAACCCCTGACACTACAAGACCAGGGGATCCTCACAGGTAAGGCTCTATGCCATCCTTTTCTCTTCCCCTGTTCCTTGGTTGAGAATCAAGCATGCATGGGTGCTTGGCAGGGACTGGCTGAGTTTGTTGAACGCAGCTGCAAACAGAGACTCCCATCTACCAACCCACCGAACACAACTGCTCTGCGATCGCTCTCTGATATGCTAGTGCAAGTGACTTCTGTCTCTTTTTGCTGCCACGGGACAGAGTCAAGCTTGGCTTCTAGTCCGTAGCTGTTGTAAAACCAACTCCCCTTTTCCAACTAGTGTCAGAAGGAATCTAATGCTGAATAAATGCATAAAGTCAAAACAAGTAAAGACAGGCCAACGAGGGTGTTGAAGTTGACTTCGAAACTTGCTCATTTCCTTTGCCTACAGCTGGACAATGGAAAGTGGTGATGTGAAAACTAAACCATGCCAAGAAGGGCTTTGGCTTATCTGCCTCGATAAATGTCTGGCACTGATAGAGAAACCTGTACCATCACAGCCTGCCCGGGGAACATTGCAGCAGGCTTCTGGGATCCACTCCCCCACCCCCACCCCGAGGCCACATGTTAGGTGAACATTATCCACTTTTCTCTGACAAATTCCTTAAAAGGATTAGACTTATTCCCTCACAATTTTTGCAAAGCCTATCTGGTTAATTTAAATGGGGAGATGATTAAGAAAAAAAGCGCTCTTTTCTTTGCTGCTAATATTGAGTCATAGAGGCAAGAAGGATGTTAATTTTGAAGTGTGCTGGGTAGGGCTTTCTGCTGATTGTATTGCTATTGATTCGAACAGCCACAAGTCTTTAGGATCATTTTTAGAGCGAAGACATGAGCAGGGCTTAAATGAAAATCAGTCCCAGATAATGAACACTCCTGCTTTAGAAATCATGACGGCCTGAGCCCTGCTTGGGAAGGTGCTAAGCCTAGGGAGTTTCTTGCCTCAGCAGAGGAGGGAGTCAGTGCTCAATGCCAGTTCCCTGGGTCCAGGCATCTAATCCTTAGGAATATTTGTCTGATCTCATCAATTCAAAAATAACAAATGGGATTTTGTTTGTTCACTTATTTATTTATTTTGCATTTTCTCCAATCTCCTGTGAACATCTAAGAGAGCTTTAATGAAAGAGCCTAGAGTTCTCCAGCTGTTCAATTCAAGGCAATGGCCACTGGGGAGCTGATGGATGGGAGCGCTGATGTAGTTTGCTTTCTCCTGGGAAATGGGGGAGGGGGCCTGCTTTCTGTGTATTGAGGGGAAGAGTCTGCCTCACATGGATCTGCCTGGTGGCTAGTTTTTTAGTCTTGCAGGCTAAGTTTTGTGTGGAGAATGAGAAACAAAGAGAGTAAAAGGTTTAAGACATGAAAATTCAACGAATTCAAATTGCCTTTTTTTTTTCCAGTATCATAGATCAGTTTTACTGGAAAGTAGATGGACAAACTAATTGGAATGTTTTTTTTTTTTTTTTGTTGTTGTTGTTGTTTTGTGTGTGTGTGTGTGGGGGGGGTTATTATATGTAGCTGCTTCTATGCCAGAAGGCAGAATTTAGTACAGTTAACATCAAAACCAAAACAGCTACCAAACCCTAAGTCTTTTCTTTCCAGATGGGTCCAGATAAAGTTTGCTGATGAGATACATGGACAGAGGGCATTATTTTCTTACAGTGGCGGTCACAGTGTCCCCGGAAGACACATTTACTTGTTAACTTCAGCGACTTGGGTCTAAACCACACATGGCAGGACAGTTGGTTAATTCAAGAAAGTCCTTGCAGAAAGTGCTGCCACAGAACTCACATTCTTTTTTTTTTTTTTTTTTTTTTTTACTTAAGTGATTCGGGGCCTTGGTCAGACTGACAGGATTTGCTTAAACCTGTTAGAATACACTCAGCCTTCCTTGAGACACTTCTTTGATGGGTTTAATGGCTTTACTCCACTGGTGGGACCCACTCCACGCTGGTCTCTCCTAACCTCACCCTCTTCCTCCTCCTCCCTCTCTTCCGAGTTACCGGAGACTGGCAGCCCACCCGTTTTCAAGCATGGCAGACCGAGGTTGTCTGGTTGGCAGGGTAAGCAATGGACCGGACGGTGGCCACGTTAGCCACTGCTTCTCCTGGGGCTGAGGCTGCCTCTGCTTGCTGGTTCACCCCTTCTGAGAGGTCACACGGGGTCAGGGGCGGGGTCATCTGGGAGTTTTGGTTTCAAAATACCATCGTATGGGGACTGGAAAATGCTAGTGTGGTCAGTAGCTTGCACTCTGTCAGAATGTCTGGTGGGAGGCATAGGCCATTCCCTACCACTCACTTGGATACCTGATGAAACTCATTGTGTTCTAATGTCCCCCACCTTACCCAAGGTAACCAAGTAAGTGCTGGGAACAGGACAGAAACCTATTGTCTCATTGTCATTGATTAGATGCCTCAGCTTCGGAGATGGCATGCAGACTGACCTTGTGCCATGAGAGAGGAGAGAAAGGCTTTGGTTTGTTATCACCATCACTTCCCTGCCAAATGATTCCAGTCACTGAACGCCTCCTGAACCGACACATCTTGGCTGCTTTACCCAAATGCTTCCCAACTTCCATCTGCCTCTTCTCTTACCCCTCCCCACCGCCCACCACCACAAAACATAAAGGTCTACTAATACTCCAAACAGATCACTCAACCATAAATGAGTAATGCAGCCACAAGAGGTAGCTCTGGGGGCATGAGAACAGCCTTCCACCCAATTGGAACAGAAAAGCCAGAGCAAAGTGCTCTCATAAACTCTAGACTTAAATATTTGCAATCAAAATCTCATTCAAAAAGGATTGGTTTTAAACATACAAAGTGTTCCCTTTACTGCCATGATTTTGGGAGAATTCAGTAGCTCCTAAATGCCTGACTGAAGAATGTCTTTTTATTTAAATAATAGGATTGTTAAGTATAACCCATCCTCTAGATTTTTCCCCCTGTAAATGTGCAGAAATAGGCTGACAGAAAAGGGGGGATTTGATTGGGGCAATTCATGGGAGATGTGTCTATTTCCTTTCAGTGAATATAAAATCTAGAGCTTCTTCAAGGAGAAAAAAAGAATTAGGGCACTGGTTGAGTTGGTGAATGTGTTCCTCTTCTTCCAGTGGCTTCTGCTGCTTCCTCCTCTTTCCTCTTGTGTAATTTCCATGCCTGCTAGTGTCTCTTCTATAACTATAAAGTCCTGTGTGGGGGAAGGTCTGTCTCTCTCAGCTTCATCCTCGCTGCTGCTTGTAGAATGCTTAGCACATAGTGGGTGCTCAGAAACACATGTCAATATGAAGATGAGTAGAAGCATAGACCAGGGGCAGAAGACAGTCTGTACCTTGGGATGACTGAGCAGGACACTGACTCTAGGAGCTTCGGTTTGCTCATCACAAAAATGTCCCCAATAACTGTTTCCTCAAATATTTCACAGGATTATTTGGAGGCTCAAGAAGGGGAAGGTATGCACAGAACACTCCAGGAGATGAAAAAAAAAATAACAGCATAAGGTAGATCTTCCCAGACTGAAGGTTGCAAAGACCTGGTGTGGATCCTCCCTGCCTGGAGGGCTGAGGAGAGGAGTAGAGGACATCAGCTGTCATCACTCCATGAATGCTCTGTTTGGATGACACAGGGACCATTCAACATTCAGTGGAACCTGAATGCAATGTGATGAGAGACCAACTGTGGACCAGGGTCAAGCCTGTTCAGGGCAGAGTGGGATGATGGGGATGACCTACACAGACTGAGAACAAAGAGGACCTCGAGGTGTTCGAAACAAACATGTCCTCAAAGCCTCGTGGAACTCTTAGAATGGCCCTAATTCTTGCCTGCTATTCTCTAGGCCACAAAAGATTGCCCACTAGTTACTATAGCAACAATTCTCCTTCCGAAGTGGCCGCGTTGGAATAGGAGATGGAAAAGTCGTCCTTATTAAAATAAGAAGAAAGAACAAGAAATTAGGGTTTTGATATATTTGCCCTCTATTCAAAGCATCCCTCTTTTATGAGAACAAGAAAGAAGCAGCTGCTATTATTACAAATATGCTTTGAATTCCTTGCAGTTAAATGTCCTAACTTTCATCTCAGACTGCTAGGGCCCGTATTTGTTCTACTACATCTGAAAATGATGTTACTTCCCCCAAGAGAAAACAGTAACACAGGAGATGTGGGACCACAGGCTGGATGGTGACAGCCTTGTCAACCTTTAAGCTGCCTTTATCTGGGGGGATGGGGGATGGGGGAGGGGGGGAGGGGGTAGAGCCATACCGAGCCCAGGTCAAAGCAGCTTTCTATCGATCATGAAGCCTGGCTAGGTCACCCCATCCATCTTTTCTTTGGCTCCTGGTAACAGCCATGCTTAAGCTGTCACTTGAGCAGTACCTGTATGAAGTGCTTCCTGGGCCCTGTGGTTCTGCATGGTTACAGTCCTAGGTTGGGCAGCCACATGGGTTTAGACATTCCCTAAATGGGTTGGAAGGCTGGTCAGCAAGCCCTAGGATGAGGACACACTCTACTTATGGGCAAAGGCCAACTAATTCTTGGTCTTGAACTCGTTATATAACTATATAGTCTCAGAACAAAGTAAAAAGAAAGGCTTTCCAAGTTAGGAAGTGTGTGTGTGTGTGTGTGTGTGTGTGTGTGTGTGTGTGTTTCTGTGTGTGAGTCTGTCTGTGCATATACACATATACTATGAGCCTTACCCTGGAAACTCAATTATGCCTCAACAAAGACTTTCTTTTCCATTCTTAAGCCCTAAAATCTTAGGTGTATGAGATTTCACTGCCTTCCCTGTATAAAGTAACCTGGAGACCCAGCATAGGGAGGACCTGCTGGTATAGGTGGAGAAAGGCTACTTAGTCAAGTACATACACAGTGAGTTACAACCCAAGGAGTTTGAAAACGCTGAGCCTAGTGGTGGTAAGTGACATAAAGGCGGAGCTTTTCCCCTGCAGAAAAGAGCAAGGTGTTCAGAACTCGGCAGACTGGGTGGCAGGATTTTGGATGAGCCCAGGGGTGAAGAAGTCAGGGCTACAGGACAATGTAACCTCCCTGCAGTCATCAATGATGGTATCACTGGGCTCTTGGAACTGCCCCATGGTTAGGACCTAGGCAGTGCCCGAAGCATAGAGGGCAGATTCCAGGAAGCTGATGGCCTTCCCAGACCTGTCATAGAAATCAGAGGCGAGTGTGACAGGCTTGGGCATACATTGGATTGGGTTTTACAAAAGGGGCACCCAGGCTGGTCAGCACACCTGTGGGCACTAGTAGGGCAGGGTGGAATCATCCCACTCCAGCTGGGCTTGCCTGGTGCCACTCTGCCCATGTCCAACTCTGCCCATCCCCTCTTCCTCTTCCTCTTCACTGTCATCAGAGCCACTGCTGCTGGAGCTCATGCCTTCTTCTGCTTCCTCTTCTTCCTCTCCTTCGGTCTCATCTTCCCCACGCCCTGGTCCTTCATGTTTCTGGACCCCAAGGAGAGAAATGAAGTATGCATCAAGGACTTAGCAGGGGCCACTTGGAATCTATGGGCAGCAAACGGTTAAAATGCTTGCAGTTCATTCCACTTAAAGCTAAACCCCTTACTCTGCCCAGAGATAGGATCTCTGAAAAAGAGACCTGGTAAGAGGAAAGTCAGAAAGTCCGATAAGGGTCTAAAATAGCAGCAAATCCCAAGACACATGGTCAAGGTAACACATTAGATGGATGGGCATTTAAATTCACAGCATTATTTCCTGAATCTTTCAGACCATTTAAATGGAAAGTTCAGGTTCTTAACTATTTGCTTTCCAGGGGCAGAATCATGTTTAATTTTGAACACCTTTCCATGTGGGAACATTGTATCACAGGAAGTTGAAGGTCTTCCACGCCAAGGAGCAGATGTGCCAGTGTGCATTCTAAACTATTCTCGTGCAAAGCCCAGTGTTCACTCCCTCGCTATACTGCCTGCCCCTGTGTGCCATGATTTGTGAACTAAAACCACACCTCATCTTTTCCAGTTCCACTTTCCCTTCTTCCATCTCTCTAGTGATTCCAGCAACATCCCTCTTCAGGATTTGTGTTTTGAGTTGGCATTCAGATAATGAGGTGATACGTTGCCTTGCATGGCGGTATGCCTCTTTAGATTGCATTCTATCTTTCCACTGTTGCCTCCAAACCATACCCTTTCTACAAGGCCTCCCTTACTCTAGTCTGCTGTAATGACTGTTAGTTCCTTGAATGGCCAGTTCATTCATTTTGGCCAGTTCAATGGCCAAAACTCTACCCAATGAGGCCTCAGCAAGAGCTAATATTACTAGGTCAGCCTTCTTGAGGCACACTATTGTCTGCTGCTCAGATCCCTCTTGCTTCTCACACTTAAAGCTCAGCCCTCTAAGGATGGAAATGCAGGGAGTCCCACACCAGCATGCTTTGAGAACTTGAGCCATGCTAGCATGCAAGCTGTGAAACGGGAGCAGATGAGCTGCTGTTAAAACTGGAACCAGGCACACAATGGTCGCCTCTTCTATTTCCCTATGACATTTCCTGATCTTTCTCTGGGCTTGTGTCTTCCACACTAAGCATTCCCGTGGGTAAAAGGAATGATAGATAGGCTGATATATTGATCAGAGCCCCTGGTGTGGTCATAGCTGGATGCTGGGGGTTATTGGCAAACTGAAATCAAGTGAACCTCCAAACTGTACTGCTTTGAGTTTAAATGCTGGTTGCATGCATGTGAACATGCTATAAGTCTTCTCTCAGTTCCCACCTTGGTAAATGAGGGCGATGCTTCCCATTTCACAGGGCACTGGTATATACAGAACATCTGGTACAGGGTCTGGCTTACAGGGAGCTTATTAAATGGCAGGTGTTGTCGTTGCGTTTTTGTTTTAACTTATTCTTAGCCCTTAAGTGAACTCTGTGGGCCGTCTAATTCGCACTGTTAGCTAATCAGAAATTCAATATTGAATTCCTAAGTGTTAGCTTTGAACTGCGGTGGGAGTGAGGGATAGCTACTGAATGACTGGCTGCTTTAAGACAGTTCTAGTTATGTTTGTGGGGTAGGAGTGCTTCACACCTTTTAAATTAGAGAACACAGTTCAGAGAGGAATATGGCTAGTTCATGTTGAAAGGACTAACGAGGCACAGAGAGGGGAGAATCACTGGAAATGGACTGATTAGACTAGGAGGAATCCAGATCCTAGAGCTAGACAGAGGAATAACTAAGTTGATTAGCAAGAGAAGCACCCCACTCAGAGATGATCCCATCCCAGAGAGGTTCTCTCTTCTCTTCTGTTTCTCTCTGTGTCTCTGTTGCTCCCTCCCTCTCTCTTCTCTCTCTCTTTTTCTCTCTCCCTCTTTCTCTTCTGTGTCTCTCCCTCTCTCACCTCACTGTCTCTCTCCCTCTTTCTCCTCTCTCTTTCTCTGTCTCTGTCTCTCCCTCTCTCTTTTCTCTTCTCTCTGTCTCTGTCTCTCTTTCTCTCCAAAGCTCACCTCCATAGGGTTGACTGTGATAGTCAGTGCGGAGTCATCCCAATCCATTTCAGCCTCCTTGGCAGCCTCAGTCTCTTGAATGAAGTGCTGGTGAGCAATTCGGACCCGATACACACCCATGGCCACAACAAACACCAGCATGCACACAGAGATAATGATGACCACCGTGGCGATGCTCGGGACCACTGAAACAAGAAAAGAATCCAAAGAACATGATAACTCAAGATGCATCTCATTCTTCTTAAGGACAGAACATCCAAGTTCACAATAAAATCTTCCATCCCTTTTCCCAGCAGTAGGATTCTGGGTCCTTACCTCACGGTGTCTGGGGCATACTTTTATCAAATTTTATACTGGCTCTGCTATGGTAATTGTGAAGAGTAAGGGAAATAAACTCTGTGGGAGTCTACGTAGGTGCAGTAGGCATTCAGTAAGTGAAGATTTTCTTTTACCCATGGTTTCCCTCCTCAAATGATATGGGAGTTTCTACTGAAAGTCAGACACTATACAGTCTGCTAGGAACAAGCACTACCAGATGGTGACACAACATGGCAAGTGTTCAAACAAAGGCATGGGCAGAAGACTTTGAATACGGTAAGCATATAAGGGTTCATGGAAAGTTTCTGAGTTGGGCCGGAAAGGAAATGACTAGCCTAATTTTGTCTCAGCCCTTTGTATTAAGCTCTGTCATTATTGATTGTATGAAACTTCCTGCTTAGTTGATTGATTCCCTGTTGAACCCAAGAGTGTTCAGAGAAAGGGTTTGTAGGCAGGATCATGGCAGGATCCTCTTCCTCTGAGGATCTCTGGATGCTACAGTATAACTATTTTACCTGAACTGCGCTGTATACTACTCCGGGACTCAGGGTGATGGACAGACTGGAGGAAGGGTGGCTGAACAATAAGGTGGTTGACGTGTTCCTGATCGGAGACTCTGGCTTCATGAAGGACACTGACCTGGGAAGAGCAGGAGAAGTGCAGGTAGGTGGTTGTGAGAATTCTTCGAACGAGTGAAGGAATGGGCAGGTGGTTCAGGCCTTCTTTCCTTAACAATGGCAGGATACACTCACCTCCAGGTTGAACTCATTGCTAGTATAACGGCCATTGAGTTCTGAACACTTGATCCGGAACCTCCGGGTCTCAAGGGAAGTAGGGTGCCAGTTGCGGTAATGAAGGTGGTGCAGCACCTGCTCATAGCGGCTCATGGACCCCACACCTGTACCGAGAGACCACACCCACTGTCTGTCAAATGTAGCTGAAGCATTTTCTGGGATCAAAAAGCGAAATCATTCTATTAGTTTCTACAGGTTCCCCAGGAGCAAGGATGTGGGACAATTTTCCCAGAGGCTGGAGTCACTCTAGAAAGTGAAGTCTAGAAACATAAGAATTTCCACTTGACCCCTAGGACTGTGTGAAGCACCCCCAGCCCCAGCTATCACAGTCACTAGTTCCTGGACAGCCTGGACACTCTCTTCTGCTGAGAGAACAGCGCTGAGTAGAGGGGCTAGGTGGGGTCTTACCATAGATGGAGTAACCAGCAGTAGAGTTAGTAGCATCCAGGTGCCGTTGGTGTAGCTCACTATGGTTGAGCTCCAAGCACTCTTGTCTTGGATCCAAGTCCCCTCCAAGCACTAAAATGTCACAGAAATCCAAGTTGTGTAGCATTTCTTCCAAGACTGCTGATTTGGGGGCTGTAGAAAGACAGGTACATGAGAAACGCCAACATGAAAAGCTCTTGCTTACCATGACACTTCCTCTGTTACTGCTTGCAAATCCAGGTGGGTCAGGAGAAGGGGTTGTGCAGCCTATCAGCCATGCCTACTGCTCAGACATCAGGCCATCTTCAAGAAGGTGGCATGAATTAGTGGTGAGAAGTGTACAGTTCAAACCCACTCTGCCACTGAGAAGCCACATACCACTCAGTTTTCTCGTCATCAGGGACATTATAAGCCATAGCCATAACTTGCATTTAGAGAGAGCTAAGTGGCTTTTCATTACATTCTTATAGCTTTTTCTGTGTGGACATAGTGTGTGTATGTGTGTGTGTGTGTGTGTGTGTGTGTGTGTGCATCCATCAGGCTCTGAGGATCTCGAGGGAAGAAACCTCTTTAGAATGTGTCACGGGAACTGCCAGGGAGCAGTTCTCATTCACGCTTTGCTCAAATAAGGATGGATCATTTACTAACCATCAATGGAATCATCAAGACATAAGCAAAAGTTAATAATTGATAAATCTGAGTAAATGAATTAGTTCACATGTTCCCAGAGGGGCACAATGGCGAGCTTGTCAGTCTGGTGGTCTTTGCCTGAGTCTATGCCTCCAAATTTCTCAAGGAAATATCTGTGCATTGGAATGTTAGACAATTTGGCAGTCCTAAATGAACACCCCATTTTAAGACCAAGGCGACTGCTGCTTACACAATGTGTGCCGTGTGCCAGCCTGGCACAAACATAATGACACTGGCATTATCCACAAGCCATCACTGGGAAAATAGTTGATCAAAGAAGTGGGCAGAATTGTTCTGACCCTATAATTCAGATACTGGTAACCTCTATGGCCATGCCTTCAAATATTGTTGGTATTTATAAAAACAAAAATGTTTTAAAAGACATTCAACAGATGAGATAATTATTTTAATTAAAAAATTCAATGGTACCTAAGTAGTTATTAGAGTTTCTGTGTGCCTAATTTTTTTTTCTGTTACCCAACCACATGGTTCCATGTGTCAGTAGCAGTATATGAAAAAACAATGATCTACGGTAACACTGAGGCCAACCATTAATGGCAGTGAACGTGCAACTTCAAATCTCTTCCAGGTGTCGCTCTCTGTTAGGTGACATCAGGTCACCTTCCTCATGATAGGGCCGGCAGAGTCACACTAGGCGGGGGCGTGTCCTGGCTGCCATCATATCCTACCGTACGGCATTATCTTCCATCCCTACTTTCCTGGATCCACTGTTGAAGAGACTGCCGGGTTACGAGCTCCGAGGGGAATCATCCACAGCTGAGCCCTCCAGGATTTCCTTCTCTGGTTGATCAGACAGTTAATCACCACTAAGAGCTAGAAACAATCGCTGGCGCTTTCCTTGAGCTGGAGGGAAGCGCCAGCGATTGGCAGTCTATAGATTAGTTGATGAACTCAGTCCAGCAGTCAGTGTGGTGATGGGCAGAACCTTTCAGAGGTAGTGTTGAATGCAGAGATATTTGCAAACCATCAACCAACAGGAGTCAGGACGGAGATGGATGCAAAAAGTTTAGGTGGCACAGATGCATGAAAACTTGTATGTGCTCCTGCATAAATATGGATAGATGGGAATGCATCAGTGGGGGGCAGAAGCTGACCGGAGAGCCTGTCCCTGTGGCTTGGTAGCAAACACAGCCTGCTCATTTAAGACTCTCGTAAAAACGACTATTTCAACAGCAAGTGTAGAAATTTAGAAGTACTAATAACAGCTCTCGGGCACTGGGCTGTGTGCTCTGTATGCACCTCTCATAAATAGGAGGTGAAATGTGGACCCACATTTAACTGCTTTCTCTCGTATTGCCAGTGTGCCGGTGTCAGCTGCAGCAACGCTCCCTGCTCCGCGGCTGCAACCACTGAAGTCAGCAGGCCTTCCTTTTTCAGTCCTATTTTAGCCACAAATGAGGATAACAGAAGAGGGAAGGTCACATGACTTAATGCACCTTGGCATATAACTCAGAAACCACCCTGGCTGGCCAGGTGTAAAATACCAACTATTTTTAGGTGCTCAGGAGGTCTGCCCCTTGAGAACGCAATCACTGGGAACCAGTGTGGTTTAAGGCGGTGGGTAATTGGGACTGTTTTAGAAGCGGCTCTTCAGGGATGCAGGCCTACTGGTACCAGCACATCATTAGCATTGGATTTCGACATGGGGAGGGGGTTGAAGTTGTGCTTTCCAAAGAAGCTCCGAAGGACAGCAGCTCTCAAACAAGCATTGCCCTGCAAGGCTGAGTCCCTCTGAGCAGCAAAAGGAAGGCTTCCTTCCATTCCTCTCAGCAGACTTCCCTCCCTGTTGGCTCCTTTCCTTTGGTCTGCCCCTAGCATATGCTCCAGCTTTCTATGTAGCTGCGTGTTTCTTCCCAGCAGAGAATGGAAACTAATCCTTCCCTCAGCAATGGTCCTAATAATGAAACTGGTGGGAATAGCAACCTGGGAGTGGCCCCCTCCCCACCCTAGAGCTTAGTCATATTGCCGAGGGAGACCCAACTTTCTGCTGTGTGTATGGTAATGTGAAGCCAGATTCTATCCTTGGCAAACCTTTAGCTTTTTTACCTAATGGTAGGAATGCTACATACCCTCGATGGGACATTTTTACAGCCGCATTAAAGGGAAGGCAAGCAGAAACAAATCATCTCTCTCCCTGCTTCTCAGAGGATGCTGCTGTTAGTATCTTCTCTTCTGGTCATCTCTTTCTTACATGGCCACAGTCATGCTATATGGAGACTGCCAAATCTGTGTGTCACTTCTTTTCACTTACTGTATAGCACAAGTGTCTTTCTTCCTGCTTCCGGTCACTAACACAAGTGTGCTACACTTGGTTAAGCCGCCTATCCCTGTCATACTGACCATCTGTTTCCAGCTTTGTTTAGTTTTTCCTATTGTATATCATCCTGCCATACCCGAGCAAAATGGTCGTCCTGAGTATCATTTTACTTAGATGTATTGAGTTAAGGTTCACCCTCCCCATAGCCCCCTCCCCACCTGTGCCTGTGGTTCTCGTGTCCCCCGAGGCCTCAGTCTTGGCAAAGGTGCTCACGATCTTGATGTCGGGGAAGAGGGTCACTCCTCTGGTGCTTTCAAAGTGGGCAGCAGGTCTCCAGAAGCGCTCTGTCCCCTGGAGGGTGATCTGGGGTTCGATGGCCTGAAGCACCATGACGTAGGCATCCACGTCTGGGATGCTGATGCACACATCTTCCCCAAAGCACCTGGGAAGACATTGGCAGTCACGGCCCCGACCAGCTGATGATTTAAACCATCCACCCCAGAGCCCCGGGCAAGAGACTAGACTGCCAACTCCAGTCTTTGCCAAGGTGTCCTGTTAGGAGTCTGTGGGGGCATCAGCAGACCTTCAGATTTAAAGCCGCATTACCAGCCTAACCACTAACAAAGCAGGGACTTAAAAGGGTTGGCTCCTGGGAGGGATGGGACCCTTCCATACTAGCAACAAGTAACCCTTGAAGCTTTCATTATCTTTTAGCGAAGTAATCAATGGCAGAATTCATTAGGAAGCAATTGCTTGCTTTTGTGTGTTGGTATTTGGTAAAGAACTTGTCTTGTTGGGTTGTAGCCATCTTAATAAATGAGACCCCAGGGCTAAATTCTCCTGCTGTGGCGTATGTATGCATTCTGTCTCTGTGGGGATTGCACAGGGATGCATCTCTGCTATGGGTGAGAGTGGAAAGCTGCTGTGGCTCCGTTACTTTACCCTAGTACACTGTCAATGAGTGTCTGAGAGACAGGGATGATATTATAGGAACCAAGGCTGGGAAGGGAGATAGATGAAGATCCATTCCCTGCTAGGCCACTGCTGGCTACCTATTTCGTTGCTTTATGCTTTAATATCTTACCTACACAATAGCCAGTGCAATGCTTACCCTATATTGGTAGTGGCTAGTTATAAAGACCGTCAGAAAGGCTGCTGTCCAGAGCTTGCATCATAGTTTGAGTCCAGTGATGTCAAGGCTTTCTCACTAGACTCATTGACGTCACTGATATTCTCCATTGTCATTAAATACCAAGGACCAATTCTGAGCTAGGGTTTGAGGCTAGAGCCTCATAGAGGCAGCTATAAGGTAGTTTGCCCTGTGGAGATGGATTTTTCTACTCTCCCATGCTCTAGGTGAGATGCTGATCTTTGGCTGCTGCTGCAAGTTCCCAGCACAGATTCCTGTTGCCTTTGCCATGCCTACCCATTGGGTTACCCTCTCTTTGTGGTTTATGAATGGCAGGTCTCAGACATGGACCCTGAGTAGTCTCTTCCATCTTCTTTGCTCAAGTTTGGAGCTGACTCAGAGGTGCCTTCATCTAACTTTGGGCCTCTGGGGTGGGAAGGCCCTTTTCATCACTATTGAGGGTGCTTTCCGCAGTGATCATCCCTCCCAGGCTCAGAAATGCAGTATTCAACAGATCCATCCTTCTGCCCTTGTTCCTTTCTCCTGAGTTCTTTTATCCTAGGTGCTTGGTGAGCCCACTCCTCCTCTAGGGTCCCCTGACTAGCAGTCATCTCAAGTATTGGCCAAGTCTGGGAAGCAATCTGTCAAGACCCTAAGTGAGCTATCCAAAAACTTCAGTGATTTCATCTCATTAACTGAACTCTGCTCCCTGGGGACAAGGACCATGCCTTCTCTTCCTCTGGCTTGCTCATAGTATTCAGGAATTCTATAAAGTAAAGTTGGTTAATTTAATTGACTTGAATCAATATTTGTCAAGCACCTACCACATACCAGGTGCTATGCCTTTAGGTCAGACCATTTTAGATGTAGCTGTTGGAGAATTTACAGAAAACAGAGTTGTCTAAGCATCAGATTAGATGTGGAGTAAAAACATAGAAAGCAGAAGGATAGCAAGGTCGCTGAAGCATCCTCCGTGGATAGCAGAGTTGAGGAACACGCAGTAAGAGAAGCCCTACTTGCAGAGGAATGCTTTTAAGGGACCATTGTTGCCTCGTTGGCTGGGCCTAGGCTGGTTGGATTTCACTCACTGGACTTTGGAAGAGAGTCTGAGGCGCCGGACACCTGCGGTTGGGAACTGCCTGGAGTTGATGTAGGAGACCTTCTGGAGGGCTCGGTTGATGTTTCCAATGTCATCACCTTCCATCACGAGAACGGACTGTGAAGGGTTGAAGTGATACTGGAAGACAGAAGAGAGTTCAGATGGTCAATGGCAGACATGGCGCTCTGAGAACTGTGCAACTCCACAAAGAGGCCACTAAGGCCACCAGGGTTGTTACCAGAACTCCTGAGGATGGTGAGTCAGTTGGGGTCTCCACCTCTCCAGGAAGTTGCTCCATTTTCTTCTGAAATCCAGCATCTTCCCTATGTGTTCTACCAAAGGATTAGATATCCAAGTGATACCAGCCCGAACCACAGGATGGAATTCTGAAAACCCAGTCACAGTGTTCCTTGAAAGAGGTATTTTTGTTTTGTTTTGCAGACAGGGTCTCATTGTGTAGCCATGACTGGCCTGGAATTTACTGGAATAGACCAGGCTAGCCTCAAATTTATAGATTATTATCCTGCTTGTATCTCCTAAGTGCTGGGATGAAAGGTGTGAACCACTGTTTCCTGTGATAGTAAGAGTTTTTGTTATTTTCACTCCTTTACTGTTATCACAATCAATAATCTCATTCATATAAACACATGGATGTATCTACAGGACAAATCCTGCAAGGGAAATTTCTAGATCAAAAAGTAGTAGATGCTCTTTGTCCACACTGGCAAATTTCTGGTTGCCGGAATTGTAAACACACACACACACACACACACACACACACACACACACACACACACA